TTATTTTTGTAATAATGGTGAGATCTGTATTAAGATAACTGGTCATTGTTGATGACAATCATTTTATCACCACCAACCTCGGTAAAATATTTAATAATATGTTACACAATATCCAGCTATTATAAAAAGWTCTTAGTCATTTTAATATGAATGTATTACAATTTATAAGATATAAAATGAAAATAATTTAGTCAAACTGTTAAAATAGTATTTGATAACTTTTTATCCCGTAGAAATAATTAAATTAGTTTACTTATAGTATCATAATGTTAATACCTATTTATATTCTGATCATTTTTGTTAATTATCAATTTTTCAATCAAATCAACCAAAATTTCATTATTGCCCACTTCAGAAAGAATAGATAGGTGTTCGGTATTCATTTTGTATGATGACAACATAGTTCATTTGAAATAAGATGAAATTTAGCTATATTGCAATTGTCTTTCGCTCCTATCTGAAAAATGGATACCTAAACTAAATACATAATATTAAATCCTTTCTGTATGTTATTAATTATTGATTTTTACTGTGCCTATTCATATTATTAARATATAAAGAGTATACAAAATAAATTCTTCTAGAAAACACAATGAATTGTTTTATTTGTGTGTCAACATTATAGATGCATTGTATGATTTTATCACTTTTACTAACCAATACATTTTCCTCAAGTGTTGCTAATCAAATACCTACTCCTCTTACATGATGTTAACTTATAAATATATACTACTAAGATCTTTGAGCCTATGTGATGATTATTTACATTCGAGTTCTTATTTGTTTGACTAAAAAGATTTTAAAAAAGAGTTGTGCTGCCATGCTTTCATTAATGTGTTATGTTATTATTGTGTTAATTTAATATAAATTATAACTAAAATTTAATTTCTACTTAATTTCAGCCTAGAGGAGATTTTCGCAATGATAATAATCATGGTGATAATCATCAAGGAGATAATGATATCATGAATAGAGGCAATCGCAATCATTCTGAAAGTGGAAGAGGCGGAAGACGTGGTGGTGGTGTTGGTGGAGGAGTTTTTAGAGGAGGTCCACCAAATCGAGGAGATGATCGTTTAACTAGAGCTGATGTGGGTCACTATAAATTAATAAAAGATTAAAGGTAGATTAAAATGTATATTTTCATATTTTTCAATTTTAGGCTCTATGGAATGAACGTTTAATGCAAATAATGGGTCCAACTCATGAACTTCCACAAACTGATAACACTGAAAGAAAGTTCCTTAGCCAGTGTCGTCTTTATATAGGAAACTTGGTGGATTGTACTGAAGAAGAATTGATTGAAATGTTTAAACCTTATGGAGAAGTTTCTGAAAATTTTTTGAACAAAGAAAAAATGTTTGCCTTTATCAGATTGGTAAGTTAATAGTTAAAATAATTAAAATTGAATTGTAATTAATGTTTAAATGAGGTCTATTGTCTGTGTTTACACAAGTGTAATATAATCAATTTTATAATACTGGTTCTTATTATAGTTTAAGTTAACTTATAGTTAATATTAAATCAAAGTTAGATATTTTTGGACTGGTATATGAGAAAATAAAGTTTAAAGTAAAGATTTTTTTTTTCATATTTAATTTTTTAATGGGTACGCTTGAGTAAATATACTTAAATAGTTATTTTTTCAAATTCATAGAACTAGTTAACATGCTCATGTGGATGCTTTTATAAAATTTTAAWTTAAGATACAGAGCATATCATTGTTTTTAGTTGTATTTTGATTTTAATGTGAGATGAGTATTTTAAGATGTAAAAACAATTTATAATTTTAAAATACTCATATTGAAAGAAAAAAATTRTCTACAACTTTTTAATTATAAACAATTGTTACTAAGAATTTGCCTCATAGATTTACCATGTTATTTGTGAACATATGCAAGTATGACATACTTATAATTAAGAAAAATGTATGCTTGTTGAAATAGGATTATCGCGCCAATGCGGAAAAAGCCAAAAGAGAATTAGATGGTCAAACACGTAAAGGGCGTATGTTAAAAATAAGATTTGCWCCCATTGCTGCTGCTATCAAAGTAAAAAACCTTACTCCATTTGTGTCCAATGAACTTTTAGAATATGCTTTTTCAATTTTTGGTGATGTATGTCGTTTATTTAATATATCTTAATATTTTTTATATTTTAAACTTCATTTTAAATTTTTAGATTGAACGTTGCCAAGTGATGGTAGATGAAAGAGGTAATTCAACTGGTGAAGGAATCATTGAATTTTCACGCAAAAATGCAGCAAGTAATGCTTTGAAACGTTGTTCAGAAGGTTGTTTCTTTTTGACCAGGTAATAATTACTCTCTTTGTGATATTAATTTTTATAAATACTGAGACTTTTAAAATGTATATTTATTTTTTAGTTCACTTCGCCCTTGTGTAGTTGAAACTTATGAGTTTGTGGACAGTTCAGATGGTCTCCCAGATAAGTTGTTGCCCAAAAAAACAATGGATTTCCAGAAACAAAGAGATGTTGGTCCGAGATTTGCCAATCCAAATTCTTTTGAACATGAATTTGGTACTCGTTGGAAACAGTTAGCTGAGTTGTATAAATCTAAGGAAGAAGCATTAAAACGTGAGATGAAATTAGAAGAAGAAAAATTAGAGGCCCAAATGGAATATGCTCGTTATGAACATGAGACTGAAATGCTCCGAGAACGTAAATATTACTATAATTTAACTTTTAGTTGCAAATTTTATACTAACAGTATTTGTWTATTTAGAATTGCGCCAACGAGAAATGGATAGAGAACGACAAAAAATGGAATGGGAAATGAAGGAACGTCAAGCAGAGGATCAAAGACTTAGGGAAGAAGATATTTTCAGGAGACAAAGCGAAGATTTAAGTATGAGAATGCATCATCAAGATGAAGAGATGAGGAGGCGTCAACAAGATAACTCATCATTCATGCAGGTAAATGATTAAAAAATATGAATCATATACCTAACCTTATGATAAGCRGGAGACACAAAGCGGCCCAATAAAATCTTCTGCACATCCCCGCCCAATATTCAGTGAAAAGGAGAAAAACCTCTTTAATATCAGAGTGATGTGGGGGGGATGTAGAAAATTGGTTGTGTGTTCTCTAGCTGAATAGAGTTAATTATTTTTTAGGGTATTTGTTTAAAAGGCATATGCCACGACAAATGGAAAAATTACACTTTTAAAAATGAAAATTATGTACATAGAATTGTTGAAAGGGCTTATACCACATCAAATGTATGATTTGTTTTAAAAGGCATTTGTAAAAATTAAAATGTTAAAAAATACCTAAATCATATTCATTATTTTAAAATTAATGTAGCATTAATTATAAATGTAGTTTAGGCAATATAATAACTAATGACGTGGGGGGTTGTAGTGGTCTGG